TATCCTTTGATAGGCTAAAACCTATTAATTTCAATTTATATACATAAATTATCTTTTACTACGGTCTGGTGCAAACAGCCGTGAACGTTCCTTTCCGCTGCGCCCCTACACAAAACGGGTACCGACAGGTCCAATCCCACAATTTTGCAAAAGTAACTTTGACAATTTCTTGTGCTAAAAAAAAATTGTAGAAAGATCATCGTTTCTATTTTTGTCACTCAGCCATATGTGGGCCAAGGAAAAAGTGCTCCAACTATCAATATGACCCATATTCCAATTTTGTCATTCAAACTCTCTCTCTCTCTCTCTCTCTCTCTCTCTCTTGCACGCGTGCAAGAGGATGAGCAAAAACAAACGTATCTACAACAAATTGCTTTGGCTATCTTATAAAATAACACTTTCAACTATACAAATGTCATATGAAACTATGATAAAAGCCATAAGTAAAGCCCATAAGAAATAGCGATTTTAATGCACCATTTCCATAAACTTATTTAAAAGGCTCTAAGTGAAAGTCACCAAACATTTTTCAAAAGTTAATGGCTCTAAGTGAAAGCCATACGAAATGACATTTTTTGTAAAGCCAACTTTCAGGTACTTAGCAAAGACCTAACTACAAATGACCCTAAGCGAAGCGGCAACAATCTGACCCATATTCCAATTTTGTCATTGAGCCTCTCTCTCTCTCTCTCTCTCTCTCTCTCTCTCTCTCTCTCTCTGAGCCAATGAAAAAGAACCCAAACTTCAGTGATTTTTCACACTCAAAAAAATTTATTGCAAATGCTGAAAACTGGACAGCTCGTAGAGTTAGTTGTGATCTTTCCTATAAAAATATTAAATAAATTTTAAAATATCATTTTAACTGCGAAATAGATCGCGTTTGTAATATGAACCATATTCAAATTGTGTCATTCAGCCTCTCTCTCTCTCTCTCTCTCTCTCTCTCTCTCTCTCTCTCTTTCCTTTTTCGTTGGTAGCCCTCACCCCTATCGCAGCTGCAATCTGATCCATACTCCAATTTTGTCATTCAACCTCTCTCTCTCTCTCTCTCTCTCTCTTCTTTAAATATTTTTTTCCCCCCTAGCCCTCGCCCCTCCAATCGTGGCCGCAATCTGACACATATTCCAATTTTATCATTCAGTCTCTCTCACACTCTCTCTCTCTCTCTCTCTCTCTCTCTCTTGTGCGCGCACATAGACCCATTGTTTTTTCAAGTTCCCTAAAAACAAAGGAGCGAAGCAATGCGCAACCCTAAGGCTGCGGTATAGTGTGTTTCCGCGTATGTGTCAAGGTGTCGCATTTTCGGTGGCGGGCGACCAGGATGCAAAGTGGGTTCTTAAGGGACACATGTTTTTTGGGGACCGGTCCTTGGCAAAATTACGGACTACCTACAACTAGCTCTTCTAGAACCGGGACTTTTGGAAAAAGGAAGGACCGGTCCTCAGGTGGAAGTGGATCCCAAAAAGAAGTGGGGGGCGTTGGACCGGTCCCCGGGTAGAAGCGGACCCCAAAAAGAACTTCGGGCATGTGAATTGCAAAAGGGCCCTCAGGCCCATGCATTAAGCCCCGTCTTCTAAAACAGGGAGGTCAGACACAACGAAATAGGCGTTTTGCAAGATGCAACTTGGACGATTTTCTGTACTCGAACGAACATGCACAAAAATCTGAAATTTTGAGAATCCATAGATGAGGTCGTGTTTTTTCCAGAAATAATAATAAAACATTTACAAAAAATCATTTACACTGTGAAATAATCGYCACGCCGATTCGACACATTTTCCATTTTTGCCACTCAGCCATGCGTGGGCCAACTAAAAAAGTACTCCAAATTCAGTGAGCTTTCACGCTCATAAGAATGCGTGAAAAGACCTGAAAACTGGAGTACTTGTAAATTTTGTTGTGATATTTCCAGAAAAAAATGCTAAATAAATTAAAAAAATCATTCCAACTGCAAAATAGATCGCGGACGCAATTTTACCCATATTTCAATTTTGCCATTCAGTTTTTTTTTTTTTTTTTTTTTTTTCTCTCTTTCTCTCTCTCTCTCTCTCTTTCTCTCTCTCTCATTTATATCAACAAATGAAACAAAACTCTCTCAAACTCTCTCTCTCTCTCTCTATGTCTCTCTCTCGCGCGCGTGTTAGCCTTTAGTCTCATTGATTTGACTACCTTAGGGCTGCGTTCCCCACGCCCACGCGGTAGACAATATTCCCCGCGCCCACGCGATAAACAATTTACATACCCTCACTTCTTTTTGGGGTCCGCTTTCACCAAGGACCAGTCCAATGCTCCCCAATTCTTTTTGGGGTCCGCTTCCACCCCAGGACCGGTCCTTCCTTTTTCCAAAAGTTCCGGTTCTACCAAAGCTAGCTGTTCGTAGCCCGTCAGGGGTGCGTTTTATGCCCCTGAGAACAATTTTCGTCGTCGTTCGTTATAAGGTCGTTGGAAGGTTTGAAAAACAAGGCATGACAGTTTAGAGGGTGATGACATCTTATTTGAAACTGCAAGACCGGTAGCTGCCCGTGGGACCGCATGGGTTTTGGTCAAGGACCGCGTAGGACCAGTAGTTGAGCGTAGGAGGCCGAGGAGGCTGCAGTCCTTTTTCGAAATTGAAAAGGTGCGGGTCCACTTTTTTCGAATAGCAGAGTTCCTCGAATAGAAAACATACCCGTTGTATTCGCAGCCCTTAGGCTGCGGTATAGTGGGCTTCCGCGTCTGTGTCAAGGTGTCGCATTTTTCGCGGCGGGCGACCAGGACGCAAAGTGAGTTCTCAGGGGGCAAAAAAAATTGGGGGACCGGTCCTCGGGTGGAAGTGGACCCCCAAAAGAAGTGGGGGGCGTTGGACCGGACCCCGGGTAGAAGCGGACCCCAAAAAGAAGTGAGGGCATGTGAACTGCAAAAGGGCCCTCAGGCCCAGTCATTGAGCCCTGTCTTCTCAAAACAGGGAAGTCAAGCAAAACGAAATAGGCGTTTTGCAAGAGGCAACTTTGTTGATTTTCTGTGCTCGAACGAATATGCTGAGAATCCATAGATGAGGTCGTGTTCTTTCCAGAAATAATAATAGAATATTTTAAAAAAATTATTTGCACTGCGAAATAATCGTCGCACCGATTCGGCACATTTTCCATTTTTGCCACTCAGCCATGTCCGGGCCAATAATTAAAAAAACATCATTCCAACTGCAAAATAGATCGCGACCGCAATTTGACCCATATTTAATTTTACCATTCAGTCTCTCTCTCTCTCTCTTTTTTTTTTTCTCTCTCTCTCTCTTTCTCTCTCTCTCTCTCTCTCTCTCTCTCTCTCTCTCGTATCAACAAACA